GGAATGAGGGTGCGAGTAAGGGTTGCACCAGGTGTAATATTGTTGCCACGAAGCGGCGGCATCCACGTTTGCCATCCCATCGCCTTCTTCGCTCCCCATTCGGAATCCCTATCGAATCCTCCTCCCGCTTTTCTTGCCAGTTTAACAACCTTCCGAATTTCCTTTCCCTTTTTCCACTTGAGGCGATGTTTTTCTATTTTCCTTTTTTTTTTTTGATCTAGTCTTTTTCTTGTCCTTCGTCGTACAGTTTTTATCCGTTTATATCGAGTATTCTTTGGTTGACTCGAAAAGTTAATCGGGAAAAACACTGGAGGTTTCGTCCCCCGAGATTGGGGGACAGATCGTTTCGGTTCACAGTTCAAACACCACTTGTTTTATTGCACTTGGCGCATGGTCGTTAGATTTTTAATTCTGAATCGAAATATATCGTACACTTTGGATGCTTCTTTGATTCTCTGCATATTGGATAAAGAGGTTAATACTATTTTCTTTTTACGCCAAAGAGAAGTCTGCCCCGGGGAGAAAAATAATCCCTCTTAATATTAGATTCGAGTTTTTTTCTAAGTCTCCGTGCGATCTTAAATCGTGGCAAGTGTTTTTAATTTTTAAAGAAGATCAAATATTTATATATATATATATATATGTATATATATATACGGACGAGAGAATTGTCTAATTGTTGAAGATCGATATTATATTACTCCTGCATTCCTTTCACGTGTTTATTTTTAATTATTAGAAACGATAAGAAAAAATATTTGGAAGAGATTAAATTCGCACGAATTTAATATTTTCGCGAGAAGAAAATTTGAAAAAAAAAGAAAAATGAAATGTAAAAAAACGGCACTGACTCGATTACAGGATATTACGTTGATGCTAATCGAAGGAACGAGCATGGCATGCGAGAGTCGCCAAGGACCCGACGAGCTAAGCCTTCGAGAAAGGATCGAGGAACAATACCTCTAGCCAATGTTAATACATCGCGGTACTGCCCACGCCAGTTTCACCAGACTATAAATTTTTCATCCCGTCCCGATCTCATCAAAATTCAACGTGGATATTGTTAAATGTTCGACATTCGTCGTCGACGGGAAATGGAAGAAATTAATTCGAAAATTTGTTTCATTTCGATAAATCTGTCGGAAGGAAGAAAATAATAAATGAACATTTAACAAACGTTTTCGAAAAGATCGACAGAAAATTTATCGATATATCGTTGCGCGAATTAGGGGAAAGAATTTCTGAGATTTAAGGAAAATATATCACACTTTGAATTTTTTTTTTTTTTTTTCTCAAAGAATTAGAATAAGAAGTAATTTTGAGAGAAAACGAAATTCGATGGAAGAAGATTACGTCGAATATTTTAGAAATTCGAGAAGAAGAATCATCTCGAACGAATGGTCGAACACTTTTCTATCCCTCGCTCGTCCGCGTTTTGGAAAATTTTCAAATCGAAATTATTGATCACACGACGAACCTCCGCTATAAACCCCATATTTTCCACCGTTCACTTCATTCTCACCCTCCGTGTGTTCACAGTTCATCACAGTATATCACGATATAAATAACTAGAAATATGAAATAGTGGCGCGAGAGATCAAAGGTAAAATCTCGGAGCACGGTAGTCCAAGGTGAGAACAAAACCAGCTGAATCTAAGAAAGCAAATCTGCTTGTCGTGCACGTATTATATGTACATATATCCATATGTATACACCCACATGTACGTATGTATTAGCATTTACATAGCTACACATGTACATACAATTATATTTTGTATATACATATACACATATGCATGCTCGTGTACATAAGCTACACTACTGTCCATAAGTATTTGGTCACTTTTCTTTTTTTCTTCTAAATCTCGTTGAACAATATAAAATAATATAATTCGTAAAAACGAGGATTAAACAACCTTAATCGATCGAAAAAAGAAAGAATATTCGAGAACCGGTTCACACGAATCGGATCGTTCAAAAAAAAAAAAAAAATTACCGTTCAATTCTTCGATAATCGAAAATACAATTCCAAATATCTTTACAATACATTGCGATTATTTATCAAAATCAAGCACTCGGCGATATCTATTTAATAAAACGCGATAACAAATTTTTCTTTTCCTTTCTTCTTTTTCTTTTTTTTTTCCTCCCCCCTTTTCTTTTACAAAATCCAAATACTGGTGGACGGTATTATATACACACGAATATACATATACATATATATGTATTGTATTTAATATTAGCCGAACGTCCCCTTTCTTACGTTCCTTGTACGACATACAACCGAGTATATACCGAGACACGGTGGGGTGAAAATAAAACGGGGGGGAAGAAGAGAGGAGAGAAAAAAAAAAAAAAAAAA